CTATTTTGATAGTTTCGATTTTCCCCAAATAGAAAATAAAATCTCTCCAAAGGCAATTTTAATCACTATAAAATAATATGAAATTTATTTATTCTTATTTTATTTATTTAATTTATTATTTTAAAAAAAATAAGGAAACAAATGTTATCAAACATTTACAGTACAAATACAGTGGGCAGATAGTAATAATCCGTAGTTTTAAAGGTTGTTACCAAATAAAATATAAAAAGAAACCTTTAAAATGAAGATAAATAAATTTTTATTCAATCTCATCCACAAGCAGAGACATTGGGGGAAGGGGGAGGAAAGGACTTTCGGAAATGCTTGATCAATTATCATATGTTCTATTTTTAAATTACTACGCATGTGCACCAGCTAACAAATGCAGGCACGAGTCAAGGATTAATTTTAAAATCTGGTGCTTGCATTACACAACTTTTACATACAATTCTGAATTGAAATTATATTTGGCAAACATTAAAACCATCAAAATGACATAAATCATATTTATTATGTCGTACAATGGAGCCGATTGCGAATCTGGCGAGAAAAAAGTCTAAAATCCATGTTATTGATAATAAAATATTTCCTCCTCAACCAGACTAATATGTTATTGTTAAAAAAGTCATTGAATGATTTATAATTTTTTTTTTTTTTAATTTTAATATCCAAATATAACATTTCTATAGTAAGATATCACTTCGATGGAGATCATCGATTTCATCAGTCATTTGTCACATAGAGCGTGGCTTTGACTCCTTTCCACATAACTTTTGATTGAAAAGATTGAATTTTAAGGATGTTAGAAGTTTTCGCAGTGTTCTATAGTTCTCCAGTACATCTATATAAGTTTCATAAGTAGTTTGTAAATGGTAAGTTTGATAGATAAAGATAATTTGAAGTGTCTGTCAAGCAACCTGAAATTATTTAATTATAATAATAATAATAATACATAAATAATAAACAATAATAATAAATAATAATAATAAATAATAATAAACAAACAATAAAAGGACCTTTATTATTTGATCTAAAATCATTATTATATTATCATTAACTAAAACAATCATTCATCAGCTTTTCCTTTAGTCTTTCTAGATTCCTATTCTTACTATTAGCCCTCCTCCTACCATTTCCATATTATTCTTCTTCTAAATTCTCTTGAAACATTGAAATCTATTCCAAATCATCAGTTTGGCTTCAGAAAACATCATTCAATCATACAAAAATTTTATTGATTGGTTGATTATATTTCCAGTGCTTTAGAGTGAATAAATTATTTTCCTTGACATTAGTCAGGTTTATGATAATGTACGGCATGAAGAATTGCTTTCTAAGCTCAAAATTTTGCTTCCAGTAATTCTTACTGACGAAAACACATTTTAGTGTAATCGTATGCAACGAATTATCCAGCATAAGACATTACTTTTCAATATTTTTATATCAGACTGTTCTTATACAAGCAAATACCATTTTGTGAGAATGGTTACTAAGACTTAGGAGAACTAAAACATGAATTTACGTTGAAAACTCAGAGATTTTCCTTACCTCTTCGAAAGATAATGCATTATAAAAATAGTTTTATTATTGGCCCCATCAACCAGTTAGACAATCAAAGAATTAATTTTATTATAATAATAAGAAAAGGCTTAGCGAACCCGGAGGTTCGATGCCGACACCGCCAATCGTTTATTACACACCTCTCTCCACCGTTCGCCGGCCGTCCAAACCCAGTCCCTTCAGTTGGCTTTAACAAAATCTTCCCACCTTCGCTTCGGTCTACCATTCGGTATAGAAAATATCAATCTTTTAGGAATTCTTTCGTTACTAAGCCCAACTATTTTACAAGCCCATTTGATTCTCCGCGATATAATCACCTCAATTATATTAACCAGATACAGTTCACGTAACTCGTTGTTGTGCAACCTTCTGAACTCTCCGGTTAACTCATCTTTCTTCGGTCCGAATATTCTAGGCAATACATCATTTTCAAAAACTTAAGACATTGCTCATCTCTTAATGTAAGCGGCCACGTTTCGCATCCATAAAGAACTGAAGGTAGGATAATGGTTTTATAGATTCTAGTCTTTAAATTCTGGGACAAGATGCACGAGCTAAACAGTTATGTCACAGAAAAATAACAAGCATTTCCCGCCTTAAGCCTAATCTTAATCTTCTCTTCAATTTTGATTTTTCTAGTTATCATCGACCCTAGATACTTAAACTTCTCTACCTGTTCAAACATGTTACCTTATATATCTACATCATCTGCAATATCGCTATTTTTGCAGCTAACCATATATTTTATCTCATCCATGTTTATTTCGAGCTCTAATTTTTTACCGGCTTTCATTAACGTTGTTGTATTTAGTTTTATAGTTTCCGTGTCTTCGCTTAACATAACCAGATCATCCGCATAGCCAAGCACGGGTGTTGTCCCACCCAGAACCAACCCTTTTTCGGTACGCAACACCTCTCTAATGGCATGTTCTAATGCCAAATTGAACAGGACAGGCGAAAGGGAATCACCCTGTTTTAAATAATTCCCGATTCTAACTTCATTGAGTGTTTCTGTCAAGCACTTCCTGACTATATTTACTATTTTTTTTTTTTTGGAATCCCCTGCTCAATTAGAATATTATACAGTTTCTGGCGGTCAATAGAATCCTAAACCTTTTTGAAATCGATATACAACTGATGAACAACACCGTTGTACTCTAATTTTTTCTCCAATATTTGCAATAAAGAAAATATTTGATCAATAGCCGAATGATTTATTCTAAATCCGCATTGGTAGTCACCGATAATTTCCTCGGCGTATTCTGTGATTCGACTGTGACGGCTTATGTTGTGATTCGACCTCGCGCGGGCTCATTACCGCGTATGGAGAGCCTCCCACTGGTGGCGGATGTGGGGATGGTCGGTGGAAATTCCTTGGATGTTCCTCTCGGCTAAGTCCAATGTCCGATACTGAACAACAATGAGAGGGGCCCTCCAGACTTGCTGGAGGGAGGGGATCTCCAGACTTCCTGGAGGCAGGAGCCCACCAGACTTGCTGGAGGGTCTGACGTAGGATTGAACGCCCTACTCACATATCTGTAGTTCACCATACACCTAAAATAGTCATGGATCTTCCTAAGGTAAAACACTCATTATCCGGAGGTAAACTAGTCCCCCGTTCGGGTCTTGGGTGGAGACTACTTTAGGGGAATCATGGCGCAAGATGAAAAATAGGGATTTGAATATTAGACGTTTGAATAGAACGTTAGACTTAAGGAGTTTAGACACAGCAGTGAGGTTAAAATCGGTCGCGAATGAGGTTAATGGGTACAATTCGGATGTCGTGGCTCTGCAAGAGGTTCGCTGGCCAGGGGAGGGCTCGATGGGGGAATGAAAATAAACTATTTGGTACGGAGGAAGCGAAAATCATGCTTTAGATACCGGGTTTCTAATTGGGAATAGATTTCTATCTGCTTAGAGGGAGATACAGTTCTTTAGTCATAGAATTTTGGTAGTGATATTTCAGGGACGTTGGTTTAAAATCGCATTCATATACATACATTGTCCGACGGAAAACAGTGACGATGAAGTCAAATGCAAATTATTACGATAAACTCGAAAGGGTTTATGATAAACTACCGCGAAACTCCATGAAAATAATTGTAGATGATGCAAACGCAAAGGCGGGGAGGGAAGAAGTTTATGTTCCGACGATTGGTAAAGAAAGTTTGCACGAATATAGTAATGATAATGGGATCCGTCTGATAAACTTTGGCATCTAGATAAACCTGATAATTAACAGATAATTCATAATTCTGATAATTCATAAATATACCTAGACATCACCGGATTCGCAAACACGAAATCAAATCGATCATGTCTTGATACAACATAGCTGGCAGTAGTACAACAGTAGCAAAGCTAGTACAACATAGCAAAGCAGTTTAATTAATGTATGGTCATATCGCGTATCAGAATGTGGGTCGGATCATGAATTATTAATCGCAAAACTTCGACAAAAACTTAATATAAAAAAGAGAAAAGATAACTGTTTCGATTTCGAGAATTTTAATTTTGAAAATCAATCAATTAGAAATCAATTCGAGCTAGATGTTAAGATTAGGTTTGAAGCTTTAGAACCTTCTCACGAGAACCGCCAGGATATTGATAAGTTATGGGACAATATTAAAACAGTCGGTAACTCGTGTCTAGGAAAAAAGGAAAATAAGAATAACAAACCGCGGTTTGATGAAGATCGCTTAAACATGTGCAAAAAAAAAAAAAAAAAAGCCGCTAAATTAAAAGCTCTAAATAATCCTAGCAAAGACAATCTGGAATACTTCCGAACCTCAAAGAATGAAACGACTAAATTGCTCAAAAATTAATTTTATTATCATCTAGAATTCTCCGGTAGATTAGTTTTATCAAAATACAAAACGATGAAGATCGGCTTTCGATGGGCCTTATCTGTGCAACAAACGGTCCGATTTCGACGAATAAATATATATCAAGAGAAACAAATTATGTGCAATGTAGCATCATTGTAGGTTTAATGGCAACTTTTATAAGAACTAATCATTATCTGTAGAATTAAATGGTGGTGCGGAAAACCAATTCAAATGAATAGTTCGAAATGGTAATGTAATTTGGGAATTCATGTCATTATTTTATTTTTTTTTTTTTGCCGTCGTGAATAATGAGGAAGCAACATAATTTCAAGTAGTTATTTCATTAATTTATTTTCGGTTTCAATTATATTATAAACGAGGAGGAAAATTCACAAATAATCTTTTCTTTTCTCAATAAAGCATGTTATAATTATTCTATCAATTTAAAATATTTATTTCTTTGACAAGTTATATTATAAACGATCCGATGACAAGATGCACCTGTGATTTATCACTAAATAGTTTCCATGGAGGAGGGTGGAGGGGGTGAAGAGTAGCATTATCCTTGGAGTTGGCTATATAACATAACTCCTTCACCAGGACTGCACAAGTCTTCTTCAAGATGAACGCTGTATTCTGCGTTACCACTCTTCTCGCTGTCATTTACCTCTCTGAGGCCGTGAGTTTAGCAATAATTTATAGCACCCATTTATCACAAATTAAATTTAATAATTTTTAAAATTCACACTTTTCAGAGTGTTTCAATGACTAAGTCAAAGAAACTGAATTTTCACACGATGCAAAAATAAATCTAATAAGTTTCTAATACGTTTCCGATCGATTATTTTTTATTCAAGGGTATTTTCTTCGTGAATTGGAGTAGCTCTCAGCCAAATTCCTTCCACAGTTGTTTCCTCCATTTCTTTCTGTCCATCGCTTCCTCCTCCATCAGTCCACGCCCCACCACATTCTCAGCCACAATATTTCCACCTGACATGAGGCCTTCCCACCCTTTTCCAAACTTCGGCTTCCCACTCACATGCCGTTTTGGGAAGTCGTTCCCTATTCATCCTTTTCACATTTCCATAGCACTCCAATCTTCTTTCTTCCACTATTTCTAATACATTATTCCTAACTTCCATTCTTTCTCTAATGGTCTCATTTATGATTCTCTGCGTCCTTGACACTCTAGTCGACCTCCTCAAAAATCCATCTTCACAGCTATGAATCTTTTACTCTGTAATTTTTCTAGCGTTATAGAACTATAGAGCATTCATTACTCTCTCTTTTTTTAATTTCCTTCCTAGCTCTTCGATTGCTTTCAAGTGTTGAGCCCTTGTAGTAGAATTGGTGTACCCTACAAAGCTTTGTCAGAACTGGGTCACTCAACTCATCGTTCTCTGTCGACATATATTTTGATACATCATAATAAATATTGAGGCCCCATTGTTTATGCTCAAACTGTTCGGTTAATTTTCTAAACATATATCCAATATCAAAGTCATCCCTCGCTCTTATCACGTGGTCATTATCAAATAGTAGGTGACATGATTGCCTGTCATTCATTGGAATGCCCCCTTTTGCCACATTTTAGTATCCAATTTATCAAGCAACTATCGATATATATTTTAAATAAGGTAGAGGACATGCACCATTCCTGAAGAAGGGTTTTGCCATTTCTGAACTCTTCTGATATGCAGAAGCCAATTTTTACTTCGCATTTATTCTCTCGACACATTTCCGGTACCACTCCCACTAAATAAGCTTCAATGTCAACTCTTTCAAAAGCTTTAATTCCCGTAAAGTAATTCCCGTGAGACACTATCGTGTGCTTAGATCTATAAAGATCAGATCTAGTTTCATTGATTTTTCAGCTTGCTTTTCAAACATTTTTCGTATAGTATATTTTAAGTAATTAAATACTAGGAATGTTCTTATGAAAGCTTAGGAATTAAGTGAGAAAAAAGTAACAATAAAATTGTCCAAAGAAGGAGAAACGCTGATGGACGCATCTGAATTGTCTCTAAAGTGATTACTATCATCGCAGTGATAATATAATACTGATGCTAAATGGGCCGAAATTAAAAATTCAATAATTAAGTTTTAAAAAACTTGTTGAAATAACTTTAAAAGGACGATTTTTTCAACCACTTTTACCGTGGTCGAGTATTAATGTTTGTGCCAAAACAGTACATACAGAGGGCATAATAAGCATTCTGCACTGTTATTTCTTTATAATGTGTCTTCTGCTATATGTTTGATTTAATATAATCGTAATCACATTTCAATCAAATTTACTCTCCCAATAACGCCAACTTTGGAATTAAATTTCATTATGAGAAACATTTTTAATATAATCATTTCTTTTACCCTCGACGTCACCAGCTATACGTTGAGCTCCACAGCTCGACGTCGCCCTCAAGAAGACATAACAATTTTTGAAAAAGTAAAATACTTAAAAATTCAAATTTTATCTCCGATTTTACCAGTTTGTCTCACTGTGCTTAGTCACGATTAGTGTTGGCGCAATGCAAGACCAATGCAAGTATTGCGTACTCAGTCTTAATCTTGGTCTTGGTCTTGTGGGTCTCGTAACAGTCTTGCTGTTACTATACGTATTACCTTATTACTACAGGGATATTATTGTAAATTTTTTAGATAGAAGAAATCTAACTAAATACTAATGAAAAATTAGAAGAGTTAAATGCAAAAGTGTGTTGGTTGTACCAATTCTTTAAATATATTAACTGAAATTACCAAGTATCAATTACTACTTTGCCTTAATTTTTATTAAAAAAATCAATTTTTTTTAACAGTCTTGGTCTTGGTTTTGCAACAGTAAGGCGGTCTTGCACTTTGTAAGATCATTTTGGGCAACACTAGTCATGGTGAGAATTACTGTCACTGGAATGAAATAATTCATATTATAAATTCGGTTATATCAACCTAACAGAACCAGAGCCAGAACTATAGAGAGTTAGAGGGGGGATTGTCCATGGTAGGTAGAATTTAGAGGGTGGCAAATTTTCAATTAGTCTGTATTTAATAAAAATATTTATTTATGTTTTTTTGATTATTTTGACGTTAATTTAGTCAATGAAATGATTTTATGTTATAATGGGTTAATATTTATTTATTTATTTTTACTAACCCCCCAGAAAGTTTATTTAATGACAATTACAAATATAAGTATAACAAAATACAAATATATACAAAGAACGAGGTCCTTCCACTGTCAGAGGGCATTTTAAGGATTGGAGATAAGAAAGGGTAACATTTGTGACACAAGTCCTTATAACTTTCATTGAGATATTTATTTTGAAAAAAATCCCCTGAAATATTCTTTAAAAATAACAAATTTTAGCAGGAGACTGCATGATATGAAAAATTAACCTTGCCACTCCTGGAAAAAATCCTAGTTCTATCCCTGACCTGAACAACTTCATGCAGCAATTAGATCAGATGATTGGGATTATACTAAATAATATATATTGGGAGTTTCTAAATAATATATATATATATATATATATATATATATATATATATATATATATATATATATATATATATATATATATATATATTAAACTCAGTATTTTATTTATGCTTTAAACTTTATTAAATAATTTTATTAAACATAGCTAAACTATAAAAAAAAAAAATAATATTTTCCATTTCAATGGACCATTGTCACAGGGGTGTATAACTTTGTATTTCAATTAATCTTATTATGTAATACAAATATTGATACATCTATAAATGTTATAATAGTTCCTTATGGAAACTATTATAATATTACATGGAAATTATTATTATATTACATATTATTAACGTTTTAGATGCCCTCTAAGTATAAGCAAGAATTGATGTCTTCTATAACTGATTGTATGAAAAAGTATGGTATGGGAAAAGGTAAGTTAAACTTTTTTTTCAATTATTTGTTAAGTGATGACTGTTTTAATAAGATTTACATTTAGCAAAAAAAATCATCAAATCATGTAAACTGTATTAAATACTTTTTCATAATTGATTATTATTAATCAGTCACACATTTCCATATGCCTTGTCTATAAATTCCAGTGTATATTCTTCTTGTAGGCCTAATCTCTGTTGACAGAGTCGTATGCCTTTTGTAAATCTATAAAAATATGATGTGTTGGAATCTGATTTTCCCTTGTTTTCTTTAATAGTAAGCATAGATTGAAAATTGGATTGGTAGTTGACATGCTTTTTTGTAAATCAAATTGATATTTTTCCAGTTCATGCTCAACATATGGAATTAACCATTTAAATAAAATGATGGAAAAGATTTTGTATGCACTTGGGAAAAATTTACCTCCTTTCTTTTGAATAGGATAGCTCAATGTCTTCTTCCTTCCAGGTGATAATCTTACCTGTCTCCAAATACCCGCTAAAATTTCTTTTAGTACTCTTGTCACTTCACTTCAACTGTGTTTGAACAGCTCAACTTTTATATTATCAATTCCTGGTACCCTCCTACTCTTTAGATTTTCAATAGTATTTATCATTTCCTCTACATAGGGAGATTTAATGGAGTCTCTCTCTCTCTAAAATTGACTTGATCCTGGATGCAATGTTTTTCCTGGTTCAGAATAGTTTGGAAGTGAGAGACACATTTCTCCACAATGTCAGCTTCCTCTGTGATCAGAGAGCCATTCTTAATCTCTGCATACATAATACTGAAGTTTAAATATTTGGCACCATTCATTAATAATTTGATAGAAGGTTCTACTATTTTTCTCCTAAAAGGCAGCTTCTAGGTCTGTTAATATTTTAATATACTAATATGTGCTTAAAATTATACTTAAAACTTTTTTTTTTTTTGTTTCAACAGATGAAGTTGTTGCAGTAATGAGGAGTTTTATACCTTCTGAGGATACAGAAAAGAAAGTAAATTATATTGTTTAGTTTTTCTAAAGGGTAGTGTTTCTTAGATACATGAGCCTTTCAGTTGACAGAATGACTAACACCAATTTTAACATTTTTATTATTAATTTTAGTGATATTTCTAGTGGGAAAATTTATACCATTATTCACAGTTCTATATTTCAACACTGCAAGCAACTTACTGTCTGTACAGATATTATAAATTTTCCAACTAGAAATATCAATAAAATGACTTTACTCAAAAATGTTGAGATTTGAGTTAGTTATTCTGTCAACTGAAAGGCTCATATATAACTATATTATTAAGGTAAGAACTACAAAAAATCTTGTCTTATAGGTTCAACAGAAAAGATGAATAACTATACTATTAATATAAGAAAATAACCTTAAAATGTGAGAGTATTATAAGATCTTCAATCTTACCATCAATTCATTACTAATGATACAATGAAAGCAATGAGGATGGCTGGCTGTAAGTGTTTGCAAGGACTCCAGGAAACATCCCGTTTTATAAATCTCACTCACGAAACCAAGTAGATAATATATTGAACAATCATCTAACCAGTGAAACATGGATCCTGGCTCAAGAAAATGAAAATCATTGAAGTTTGGGAAAGAAAGGTTCTCCAAATGATAGGCCAATAAATGAATTAGGAAAATAGCAATCCATAAAAAAAATCAAAAGCTAAGGGAGATGTATGAGGAACCACATATTTTGTTAATCATCATTGGGCAAGAATGTGCAAAGAATGTTTGGGTATTGCCTACCAAGAAAGTTGGTATACCGATCCGAGCCAGAAGGAAGGCAAACAAAAGGTAGATTACGTCTAAGATTACTTCATGACCTGGAGGCAGACCTGTGTCGGATAGAAGTGAGGAGATAATATGAAGCTCACAGGAAAGAATGTATAAGAATAATGCGGAGTCTATAGCTATTTCTAGGGATTTGTAGATAGAATAATTACTGATTTTCATACACTCTCCAGAATTCTTCCACTTCAGTAAATTTCTTTAAAATGGCTCATTTTTATAAATAAACTCATCTTTTCATTAGAAAAAAAAAGAGACAACTATAAGAGTTGAGATTTAACTTGCTAGCAATCAGCAACTTTGAGAGTTATGTAAAAATAAGAAACAATGGCCTATGTATTTACAATGGTCCAAGTGAGGTGAAACTGAAAAGGAAGTAGCAATATGTTCTTGGAGATGCTCTTGAGCTCATAAATATGTAATGTAATAGAAGCCCATATTTATGCAGTGTGAACATGGTATAGTGCCTCAGAATGGAGTGTTAGTGCTTTTTCATGTTGTAAAAATTGTGAACAAAATTTTTATTAAAATGACAAATGTTTCAATCAAAAGTGCTTTTAACTTCTTAATTTTAAACTTATTTAACCTAGCAGCCATTGTAGATGTAATATATATTTAAATTAGCATTATTTTAAATTAACAAGCCAAGGGACAAACCTGTTCTGTTGACGTTTTTTTTTCAGGGGCTGAGTATAGCTCTACCTTATTGTTTAAATTTCATTACTGTCTTATTAACTTCAGTCTTTATTCTTCATTCGTCACATCACAGCCTTTTGTAAACACTAGGAAGCTGAATGTTTCTGTAAAATGTGTTCTAATATTGGTATTTTCCACTTTTTTCAGAAATTTAATTTAACATTCCATTTTTCATAATTTCTTTTTGTTTTCTATTTAATGTTACTTTTCTTTCAGAAAATGACAAAATATATTTTTGAACAACATTAAATTATAATTTTTCCACAACAAGAACTTTCAATTAGAGAAAAACAAAAATAATTTGAAGGTTCTATTTTTGGAATTTATTATGCCATCAATTTTTTTTTTATTTTTTTTTTATTTTTTTTATTTAATAAAAACAAGCAAAATGAAGACTTGAAAAGTTCAGGCTGATCATAAATAGATAATACTGTTGTTGAACAGCAATTAAAATTATTTGTGTAGGTACAACCACTAAAAACCTAGCAGAGAACTGGCTCAGGAAATAACTGATACTATAAAGACCCAAAGAAATTCTTATCATTAGGCCTTAAATATTGTGTTAGGAGAATAAAACTATTTATTTGGTCTCTTAACAACTAAAGTCAGCTTAAGTTTGCTGAAGAACTTGAAAACTGGACATAAGAAGAATGGAACAAATTTTTAAAGAGAGACAAATAAAAAATTTTAAATGTTTGGTTACAGAAGGAGGCAGTATGTTAGAGAAGATCTGGAGTGGAATTTTGAGTGAATGTTTGCAACCAATTGTAAAACACCGAGGATGCTGCTTAATGGTTTGTTGTTGCGTTTCTTGATCTGTAATTGGAGACTTCTTGGGGATAGATGGAAAAGTGGAATCGAAACAGTACCATAGCATTCTTACATGCCATGCAATACTTTCTGGGATTAAGCTGATTGGGCAGAACTTTATTTTTCTGCAAGATAATGATAACAATTTGGATATTTTACATTTTCTGTATGAAAAGAAACATTAAATAGAAAAAAAATAAATTATGAAAAATGGAATGTTAAATTAAATTTCTTAAAAAAGGCAGCAAATACCAATATTAGAACAATTTTCACAGATACATTCACCTTTTTAGAGTTTATTCAAAGAATCTTGATGCTAAGAATAAAGAATAAAGACTGAAGTGGATAAGAAAATAGTGAAATTTAAACAATAATGTACAGCTATATTCAGCCCCTGAATACAACAGATTTGTTCCTTGGCTTGTAGTTAATTTAAAATAATACTAATTTAAATATATATTACATCTACAATGTCTGAAAGGTTAAATCAGTTTACAAACAAGAAGATACAAAAGCTTTTAAATTGAAACATTTATCATTTTTATAAAAATTTGGCTTGTTCGAAGACCTTTTCACACCACTGTATTTTAATATTAAGAGAGTGGTGTAATTTAAAATTTTTTTGAAGGGTCCAGGTAATCACCTATTGGGTTCAAGTAATCCCAAATTATGGTACTAAAACTGTCATTAGAGCAACTGAAGAAATACCTTGTAAAATACACAGGCATAGTTCAAATCAGCTTAAGACTCAAAATTGTCACAACATGCTTTACAGCCATACATTATTATTTATGTAAGTATTCCTACTCTTCATGTATCATAAAAAGTGCAAAGTTTATGTAAATTTATTGAACTCTCTCAAATCATATATTTTCACTATATTATTGGTATTACATTCTTGTTTATCATGTAAATGGGTTGAATAATGCCAATATAATTTCATTATTAAGTTTATTATCTTTCAAAATTCTATTGGTAAATTAAATAATTATTAAAATAAATATATTTGAATAATAAAAATATATGATTTTTGATTATTTTTTCTAGTGTGCTGTTGGCTGTGTCATGGAAAAATTGGGATATGTAAGTATACCATTTATAAATAAGTTAGTCATAGTTGATAAATATTCAGGCTAAATATTTCTGAAACCGCCCTGTTACTGACACACATGTTTGTTTTGAAACGTAGGCACCAATAAAAACTTTATAATGACTACGTCCTGAATATATATCACCCATGATATGTAGAACAGTCGACTAACTTCCTTATAATAAACAAATTAGAGTTAAATATTATACTGTAGAGTTCCCAATTTTAGGAAACCTTTGTGTTTAATAACCTTTGAGTTCCTATCAATAAGGTTAAGATTTATTTCTGACATTCATCTCCAGATTTATAAGAAAAATTATGTGATGTGAAATCCTATCTTCTCAAAGTACTAGTAGTTTCAGAAAAAATAATCAGAAGAAATGATGACAAATCTTTAGTTTATTATTTGTGGTTTGGGATATATTATAGAAAATGTACTTCAAACAAACTTTTTACTTATGAAAATTATTTGAAAAAATTTCTGATCAAACATATTACTTTAGAATTCGCTCTGGCCAAGAATATCTGCCCATATCGTAACCACTAAACCTTTTAACACTGAAATTAAGCTTGTTAAATGATAATAAGATATTTACTATTTATTACATATAACATTTTTATATAGTATTATGTCAGAAATATAAGTCTGTAAATATTTTTAACCATGAACATCCTTTTATTTAATCTCTCTTCAAATATCAAATGAACTAACTGAATGAACCATAAATAATACAAACACCTTCAACAGTACAAAGGATAAAATTTGGCACAGGTATTTCTTAAAAGTTAGTTAAGAAGATTAAATATATTTCATTTAATATTTATTTGATTAAGATTTTTTTATTTTGTTCATTTATTGATATTTTCAACTGTATGCATATATACAAAAAGGAAATCTGTTAAAAGACTATAAAACAAGATAAGTACTTGTGAAGAAGCTACCTATTGGTAACACTTCAAAGATTACTTAATTTAGACGGTCCGTTGGCCATCTTCTTTTAAGACGCCTCAGAGGATTGTCACGAATTGTATTTGATGAATGGTTATGAATTAGTGGGTTAGGGGGACCAAAGAGTTTGGAATTAAAAGAGGGATATTTAATTCGGGACAAGTCTTCAACAAAGAGAATAATAAGATCTTTATGGATAATTTTATTTGTGACATAATAAGAAGTCGATAATTTGGTGGAGCCCCTTGATTAATAGTAAAAATAATAGAAGACAGTAGAAGTTTATAGATTACTCTTACTGAATTTTATACTGCTCATAGTGTAAGAGGGAGTCGCTCAGTTTCATGTTATAAAAAATAATAAAACAGTAAACATTAATAATAATATTGAAAGCAAATCGAGCAGTTGAAGCCATTAGTGGACCACAAGGTCTCCCAAGAATTCTCTAAAGTCAAAAATCAAGAAAAAAATTCATTTTACAAGTAAGACATTGCAATAAGTAGAAACTGAATTTTTTGGAGTAAAAATCTAAAAAAAAGTCCAAACTCAAAATGTGCAAAATTGTGTGGTAACATGAGAAAAAAATAATTATAATTTAACAATGAACAACAATTAATTTCAATGTTTTTACAAGCAAGCGAACAATAAATGTTAAATAACATGTAATACAGTCTCTAGGTATAAGCAATAGGTGTGTTGTCAAAATTTCTTAAAAAATAATTTTTATAGTTGGAATGGAAATTCCTTACCATTTCAATAATTGAAACAAAATCTCCTAACAATTTAAATAGTGGAAAATTATTTTTTATTTAATTAGTTGTTTAATTAATTAATTAAACAATTAATTGCTACAGGGTTATTTATTTGAATTATTATAATTAATACTTAATTGCATCATTAAAAAATTATAATTTTTCCAAATATTTTAAATTTGTACTTTTCATTTACATTTTAATTTTTACCTCTTTATAATAATTATTTTTCATTCAAACACAACATTGTATCTAAGGAATCCCATTTTCCTAACTAAAAAGGTAATGGTAATAATGATATTGGTCTTTCATTTTAATTAATCTTGAATTAAAATGTATAACTAAATTTCCACATTTTCAAGTAGATCCTCAGTCTTTTATTTTAATTAATCTTAAATTAAAATGTATAACTAAATTTCCACATTTTCAAGTCGATCCTCACATTTTAAATTTTCCAACGTGTTGGGTTTTCAAACCTACAACCCTCCTCATCCCTCTCATTACGAAGTCACTGTTTATGGTTCTCGGAATGATGTTTATTACATATGATATTGGATAATTAACATAATAATAAATATTTTAAATTATGATAATAAAATGTTATGTTCTTCAAATTTTCAGATTAAAGATCTGACAATGGATTGGGAAGCTGTAAAGAGTGACCATCCTAGCAAGTATGATACACCTGACAAAGTGGAGAAGGCAAACAAAGTGGCGGATGCTTGTGTTAAAAGTATACATTTAACAATTTCTTAATAATATAGTTGATGTCATTATGTAATTAATGAAATACATTAGTAACAATTACCTCAGATGTAGAACAAGGTTTTGACATAATATTAAAGATATAAACATTTTAATCACAATAAATTATTGCCAATTTCAGTTGTGTCTGGAAAAGAAGCAGATCTCTGTACACTTGGATTAAAAGGATTAGCATGTCTTCATGACCAGTCACAGAAGGTAAATATGTATTTGTTTGTTTGTTTAGATTTTAGGATGTAAAACTAATTACCTACTGCAGGTGATTTTTATTTGATCTAATCTCCTCAAGCTGAATCAAAACAACTTAAAGTATTTATTATACTTTATATTATTATTTATTTATTTGACGTGAAATAGCCCTGAAGGACTACGCGACTATGACTGGTTTCTTTTTCAATTTCTTAATTTCGGCCCATCTCTGCTTGAGGATATCACTAAATTTTTTCTTCCTCTCCTCCTGTCCACCTCTTGAAGTTCCTTCCTGTCCACCACATGCACCGCACTTTTCAGGAATTTCTTGTATTCTGTCCTATCCTCACATAATTCCTGTGTTATCCCAAGCCTCTTTATTTCCTGTATATCCATGGTTAAACTTGTATCCCATAACCCTACTGAAAGTCTTCTCGTTTAACCTCTCCTCGGTCATCCTTTGCATGTGTCCATAAAACCTGTCTTCTTACCCTCATTTCTGTTTCTAAATCAGAAGTTTCACTGTAAATCTCCTTATTGGATTTCAGTCTGTATGCTTATAAGGTATATGATAAGGTTATCATATCATGAGATATTGAGGGACCAGTTTCTGTAAACAGCTCTTTATTGGTCTTTCTTCTCCATTTTTTATTACTCTGATCCCAGATCGCTCTGGTAAAACAAAAACAATTGACAACATTTCTTTTCTTTATTGTGGTCTTACATCTTTGTCAATCGTTACATCCATTTTTTCAATGTTTTCTTCTCCAGAACTTTCACCATTCTGTTTTTCTATTCTCTCTCTATATATATATATGATATATATGTGTGTGTATTTGTATTTTCTCGACAGTTCCAAAACTATATTGCTTAGTAAGAACTAATGAAACATTAGTTATGAAAATATTAAAGGTTATCCATTGTATTGATCATATGTACTGGTAAAAAGTTTTTTAATAGTATTAATCGAAAATTGATTAGATTACCTCTTTCGGATAGCTTTTGTTAGCAGACTGATGAATATTTTTTGAGAGGTGGATTAGAATTTTTGTTTGGAACTGCATTAACATTTGAAATATTAAGATTATGTTTATTCTCCAATGTATGGAATTTGTTGACATGTGGTTCGTCTTAAGGTTTGAGAAGATATGTTGATGCATTTTATAACATATTTGTAAAGCTAAGTTAGTCCCATTTTTGTTGTTTTTCAGTTCATTTAATTGGAGGGAATTCAGGTCAAAAGAATGGCTTTCTTAATTGTGAGATTTAAGATTAATAGAAATAATGTCTCAATCTTAGTTTCTCTTCTAAAACTTTGATTATTCCAATTAAGCATTCAATAACTGATGAGGATCTCTCTATTAGTTGGTTCATTCCAGTACTTGGAACCAGAGATGATATAATTGTTGTAGTTAATATCTATTTGTTGTTGAATTATTGAATGAGAAATAATGTTTTCATAGAAACTAAATGAAATTTTCATGGAAAAACTACTGTTTTCTTTCAACTTAATAAACCAATTATATTTTGTGCAAACAATTGTCATAATTTATGTAAATTTTCATAAGTTCGAATTTACAATTAAAGTAATATTTTCAAGATTTGTCTTATTTTTTAAAAACGGATTTCAACTGCAAGTAGGAAGGTAAGTCAAAGTTGTGTGATATACTGACCAGATTTTTAATAGCAATAGTAAAAAGTAGCATTTTAGTTAACATATGTGGACTAATATAAGTTGATTAGAATTCATTAATAATTTATTGTAATTTGCAGTTGCAGTTACCGATACCAGATTTCAGCTTTGAATAAAATCATGGACAACAATTGAACTGTTACTTAGTAAATCATAATAAACTGTTTCAATATCATATTCTATCTTTTACTACTTTCTTTGGATTCCTACATTTCATCAAATATATCTCATTTTAATGATAGTTCATAGTTTCTTAAACCTGTTATTCATTTTCTTTTTTAATCTTTTATTAGTTATTAAAGGTAAGTTTTAATTACATATTACTGCACTAATCCGCAACAATACATTTGTTAGTTACTGGGATGAATCTAAATTTGTTGAAATCGCATTTCTTTTTTTTATATATCAGATGATATTTTGAAATTTTCAAAAATTTTAAAAAAAGAAATGAAAACCTATATAATTTATATAATATATAATATTGAAGTCTTACTTATAAATTAACAACTAGATATCCCTTTGACATCAACCTTGTGAATCTATGAACATTGTTCTTCTTCTTCTTCATATACGGTGCTATGTTCTGCTTTGAGAAAAGGCTTCTTGCACCTTTTTTGACACTCAGTTATCTCTGTTTGGTGCTGCCATTTTCCAGTTTTAGACTCCAAGCATGGATCGGAAATCAGCAGCCATGTATGCCATCCATCAATCGCAACCCTGGTCTTCCTCTTCTTCTTTGCCAAATATTTCTTTCATGAATATGTTTTTACTTTCAATTATTTTTTGGGGGGATCTGAAATAATCTGTGAATATTTATTTAATTTAACTTATAATTGAATGCTTATTTAATGAGGTACTGATAAGTCATGAACACCCATTTCCTTTCCACTTGGATTGGAAAGATAATTTGATCACAAAATCGAGAAAAAAGGTCCCCTACCTAAATATTGGGCATTTTGGCGTGATCTCCACCCCCAACATGTCAAAATAACGAGATTATATAACGCTAGTCAGTGTTGACCGAATTGAAAAGCCGGTAAGCAAAAGTCTTTTTTTTTCAATTCTTCCCTAGTAAACTTGCTTTCAGTTCATTTTAGGAAAAAATGTGTTATTACCTATGTTAAAGAATATTAAATTTTCATTAAGTTTCATTTTCAAAAGTTATGAAAAGCATCTGACTCACTAGAGGCAGTTAAGAATTAAGCTTATACAGGCTTAAAGCTCATCAAACAAGAAAGTTTTTCTGAAAGTGTAGTATCTTCAGTATAGTTGGGGATTCACAAAATAAATAGCCAAAAATTCTTGACTTTATGAAAAACCGAACTGACCATAGTTTAATTGCTTAAAAGTCCTCCTCAAATAGTTTTAAAAAGACAATATTTACTTGCATTAGTGTAAAATTAATCTATGTTACTATGAAGTAATTGGTTGTGGCCTAAATTAAACTTATTTTAGTTATTGCTTTTTATTCAACATAAAACGTGGTTGGCTTAAAAATTACAAAATTTAAGTTTCCTGTATGCCATCAGACCATGTTTTTTTGTAACTTGTTATAAATTTAAATGTCTTATGTCACATATAATCAATTATATGATATTAATGTCAATCTAAACTTCATATCATCATCATGAAATTCCCATTGATTGATATAATTCTGTTGTTGATGATTTTATAGAATCATTAGAAGAAAGAAGCTTTGAATAATAATTTGAACAATCGAAAATGTTAAAAAACGAATTAAACATCATAATGGTATCATTAACTATAACTACACCAATTTCGTGGTTTGGAGGAATTTTTGCTTAAATTCGGAATAAAAATAATCTCATAAATATGACCGTAACCATTGATTTTTATAAAAAAAAATTCATGTGATCATTTTTATAGAGATTTTAAAGTACTTTGATATTACATTGATGCATCTTTGCAAAAAAAAACTCATAGTTTTTGAGATATTGTCAAAAATATAGAAAAATATCCATTGTCCTCCTTTCCACCCATCAAAAAACATGCAATTCTTTGGGACTTTTTATCAGTTATTCTAAGAAGGAAAATGAACAATTTTTGACTAGTTTCATCTTTATTTTTTTAGTGCTAGAGTAAGACTGTTTTTCTCCCTAACTTTACTGGACTAATATTGGCATTAGTCCAGTCAATAAAGGAGTAGTAGAGTTCTTGAGCAGGGACCTAAGCGATTTTTTTAAACCTTGTTTGGGATACTTAGAGTACGAACATATCAAACGTCCAGACGTCTAGATGGTGAGCCGGTGGGTGAGGGGGGGAAGAAAGGTAAAAATTTTTTGACTTTCGCTTATATCTTGAAAACAGCAGAAATTTTTCATTTAGCAAATTAAAGTTTATAAAATTATCTTAAGCTTTTATTCTATGTATTTTACCCTAATTCCAAACCGGTTTTGAGCTACAGGCTCGGAAAAAAGATGACATTTTCAAAATAATCATTTTGCCCAATATTTTTCATCAAACATTCGTTCATATCCTCTATGTTATTCATCAGAGAAAGAAATCCATTTAAATGAAGTTGTAGAAAATTAATTCCTTATTAGAATATATATACATACGCAAATTAATCTCCAACCAGTCTACAGTTACAGTTATTCATTCTTTTTTTTTTTTTTATTGAGTATTACAATAATCTGTCACTTGGACATTAGTTATAGTGAGGTAGAATAACATTCATACTATATGTACAGAAATATATAAAATAAATAGAAGCAAAATAAAAATAAATAATAATCAAAAAGTATATACAATAAATAAAATAAAATCACTTAAAAATAAAACAAAGCAAAAACACATACGTACATATATACATGTCTATATACATGCATACAAAAATACCTATATACACTATTTACAATTAAGTGAGAGAACTCCGAGGCGGGTTTGTACCTCCTGGAGGAAAAAGCTGGACTCCAGGAGAACCCTGCGTTATTTTTCTTATTATTTTCTTATACTTCCACTTATTAGTAATGTATATGAATCTTATTATATGTTATCTTACCCAGTATATAAAAATAATCAATTAACTAATGTTAAGACAAAATATTCACTAATTCTAAAATCTAAAAATAAACTATAACAGGGACAATGTACTGACATAAAAAATAATCTTTATTTTACTAATAAAACCCAAATAACAGACCTTTGCACTCTAGAATAATTAATAATTAAGCCTTAGATCACTGTACATCAGTAACAGTTTCTACTAAATCGTTTATAAGATATGAAGAATATGTAAATCGATACCTTTCTTACGGTAAATCCAGTATTGTTATTTCATGTCAGAATAATTCTAAATTATCAACTATATTTTTAGGATCAACTTCATTGTTAAAATTAGACATTGACGAAGAAATTGTAAATAAAAACTTTCCTTATGTTAAAAATGGTATAGATAGCCAACCCTTAATCCTTTCCCAATTCCCTTCCAACATGTATAAGATAAATGTATCTTTTGAAGACTTAAAAAATTTAAATGTTAAATTTATGCCCCTAGAATTTATAGAAAATTTGAAAATTTGAAATTTGAAATTTCAGAAAATTTGAAGATACTAGAATAGATTATAACTTTGTTATAATTATAATAATAACCATAACTGTTATATACCTATTAACTTGGCACATTTATAAACTTGTATTTGTAATTAAAAATTATGTAAAAATCTTAAGAAAAGAGACCATTCCCAAAAATGAAACAGAACTTCAAGAAGCGACATACAAAGACCATTGGGCTGCACCAAATCTTGGGAAGGAAGGAGGTATAGCCCTAAGCCATGCCACCCAGACATCACCTCATACGATTCTGCTTACTCCAGCATCAGCATTTTATAAAACGTATATAAACCCCGAAGATGAGCTGATCTCTCTGCACTCTGAGCTGTTATGCACATCATCTCGTTTGCTATCAATTGTCAGTATATAGTTTATAGTCAGTATAGTTTAACTATTATAATTTCTCAATAAACTTTTTTCTTTTTTTTTTTAAGTCAAAAGTCCAATCTTTTGATCATCCAATCATCTTTAACTTTATATTAGGATGAATAGGATTTTGAAGTTAGGGTTGAGGTGGTTGTAGCGGCAGGCCTTAACATTTATCGGTTGAGTTCTTACCTCTAAGTAGTTGGGAGAATGATAAACTATTATTCATGATTTTAGAAAGCAATCTCTCTCTACTTGGTCTCGCTGCTTCATTTTGAATCCGGTTTTTCTGGTGTCTGGTTTTGAGATTCTTGTAAATTTGGCAACATTTGTAGTTGGCCGGGTGTCCCTCCAAGCATAGGGCACACACTGCAGGATCTTGTATCGGTTTGATACGCTCCACAGATTTGTGCTGTTCATCTCATTATACGCAACGCGCCAGATAGTGACAATAATTCCTCGTGTGGCCGTATGTCAGACAATTATGGCCCTGCACGATTTCTCTCTTGGGGTATGGCTTCTCTACTTTCACCATTGTGTAGTATATTCTTGTGATATCATACATTTTTTCGATACCTGGTGATGGCTCAAAGTCTATGAAAAACAATGGTAATGGAATTTTATTTTGTAACCCTGGCTGTTCCTTGTTCTCTTTTTTTAAGTTCTTCTTTAATCACTTCAGTTGGGGTTGAGGAGTGCAAATTTCTTATCACCACTCCTAATGCTCTCTCCTGCCTCAGCTAGTACGTGTGAAAATTCTCATTTGTTTCTGATAAGTACTTCACTATTTTTCGGAAGGCTTCAGCAGAATCTGGTGTTATTTTGGTGTCATTGGTCCTATTAAGGCATGAATAACTGCAGATTTTATTTAGTTGGGTGCAGAACAACTGGAAATTTTTGATATTTTTCACAAATATCGGAGGAGGCCTTGGTTCTCTGGGTATTGCTGCAGACTCCATTACCTCTCTGTCATTTTGAAACGCTTGGTAGGGGTTTGGAGTAAAGAAAGGGGATTATTCGATAATTTCAGGATAATTACTATTAAACATAATATCTTCCTAACCAAACTTAAAAATATTTCCTTATTATCTAGTGCCCTTAAGTGGTTCCAATCCTTTCTCACCAATTGCTCCCAGTAAGTTGTAGTTCCTAATAACCCTCAATCAATGTCTGTACCTCTGTCCAGAGGCATCCCACAAGTTTCCTCATTATTCCCCACCCTCTTTTCCATCTACATCAATAACCTCCCTTCCTCTATCATACACTGTCAATATCTCTTATACCCCAATGACATCCAAATTTATCTTTCCTTCAACCCGAACAGATTCCACTAATGCCATCCTGAAACTGCAACAAGACATCAATAGAATATGCGCATGGGCAAATCTTAATAAGCTGATATTAAATATGGAGAAGACAAAAGCCATCCTGATCGGATGCCCCTCACTCCTCAAATCCCTTTCAGCACCTCCTAATCTTTTTCTGAACAACTCACCTACCTCCTTCCATACCACCGTTAAAAACCTAGGCGTTACCCTCAATCAAAGCCTCTCCGGGAAACCACACTTCTCCCAAATTTCCCGTCGTACTATATCCATCCTGAAACAGTTTAACCATCTTCTTTCATTCAAAACTCATCAACTCCTGGTCTCCTCTCTTGTTTTCCCCCACTTCGACTATGGCTGCATGATGTATGGTGGACTCTCGGGAGAACTCGAAGCTAAACTTAAAAGTCTAGTGAATTGCTCAATCCTCTTAATCTTCGGGATCTCAAGGGATATGCATATGACCCAGTTCTACACCAAGTTGAAGTGGCTTTATCCGTCCTACCGCCGTCAATATTTCCTTGCTACCTTCCTATACCAAGCCATTAGAACACGGCGACCTGCCTATATTCTACAGATCCTACAATTCAAATGCTTCTTTCTACCCCGTCCCACCAGATCCCGTGAATCCGACCTCTATCCTCCTCCTCACCAAACTGCTGCATTTGATAAATCCTTTTTAATTCAAGTTGTCTTCCTCTGGAACTCTATACCTTCAGATATTCGACACGCAAAATCAATATCCTCTTTCAAATCTCTCCTCTTCAAACACCTACTCCATTCTCAATCCGATTGATCACGAAATGCACTTAAAAACCTAAGCTGTAAAAACCTCAAAGTACACCCAGATACTCTGATTATTTTGTGATTCATCGATATTTCGTTTCATATCTTTTTATTATTTATAAGTTTATTGTATTCCTAATCAACCTGTAAATATTAAATTATATTTTATATACACACCAAAATATTAATATATATTCTGTATTTGTAACTTGTTTTAAAGGGACACAGTCCCAGAATAATAAAATTATTTTCATTAAAAAAAAACATAGATGAAGACTTCAGGGGGAGGGAGGGAGAGCCAAAAGGGCGATCACCCCTCCCCGTACCAAATAAAAATGTTGAAAAAATATCGTTTCGCCTTCCTCCCAATAATTCAAGACAAAAAAAATAAAATAAAATCAATAACAAATAAGCTAAAGATGTGTTAACTAAAATCGATTAAGAAAAGTAGACTGGCTAGCTAGGCTAGGGCCTAGTAGTAGGTATGCAACTATTTTATTGATACTTAAATATTACTTTTATTCAAATTGTCATTTATATTGAAAGATATTTATATTCAGGGTTTCCAGTAAATAGGGAGAAATATTTAAACAGGTAATAGTAGACCTCTACAGCTATCAAAAACTTCATATAAACAATGATCCGATTTTCAGTAAAATAGTAAGCAATTTAAGTTTTGTGTTTTTATAAATAAGTCATGGTTTTTGATGAATAGGAAACGATAATTAAAACATTAGTTAATTTAATTAATTAACAGTTGATCTAATGTAAATTAGACAAAATTTGCTTCAATTGAAAGTAGAGTTTGTTATTGTTAAAACCATTTAAAGAGAACTTTTGAGTTACATGTGATTACATTAATATCTACATATACAATTAAGAAGCTTGCTGATTGCTTGAATTATTTTCATGAAATCATAAATATTAGGATTGCAAACATTTAATTTATCACTTATAAATAGAGATCAATTTCTGTAATACAGAGTGTAATAAAAACACAGTGTTATTATCATTTTAAATTATAAATATTTCAGAAATCATTATATTTAATATTTTTTTTTATTTTGCAATCATTTATTGTAGTCATTTTTGCTGAAAACACGGGTACTTTGAGGTGACAGGATATCAAAACGCATAATTTTTTTTGCAAAACATGAGATTGATTTCAACTTATTTCGTATAGATTCCTCAGCTTAATTAATATGAACTTAAAGCTAGCTAGACAAGAGAGTTTTTTTAAAAGTGAGTTGTCTATAGTATAGTTGGAGTCTGAAAAATAAAAATAGCAAGTAATTCATGATTTTTTAAAAACAGAACTTAGCTTTGTTTATCCGCTCAAAAGTCGTCTTTAAATGGTTTTCGCAATGACAAACTCCACTTTCGTTTGAAGTAAATTTTGTCTAGCTTACATTTTGAATTAATTTTATTAAATTATGTTTTAGTTATTACCATCTATTCATAAAAACATGCGACTTCCTTTGAAAAACACAAAACTTAAATTCCTATTCCGCCGAAAATCGCACCATTGTTTATATGAACTTTTTTTATAGCTCATGAGGTCTAGTATTACTTGTTTAAATATTTTCCTCTACTTATGGGACACCCTGAAAAGCAACATATCCTAGGATTTTATGAATCATCACCCTTCAATTTTCACATGATATTCACCTTTTTTGCGGCGAACTAGTCGGACTGTGAAAAACGTATTTTTATTAGAGGTTCTACAAACTAAGAAATCAAAAATATTTTTTAGTTTTACACATCATTCATTTTTAGCTGAAAAAGTTCTAAAAATATACCAATGTTATGAAGGCTATTTATTCTCCCTCCCATGTTTAATTTTAAAAAATACATTATATATTCAATTGTATTTTTTTGTTAGATATTTTCAAGTATACATAAAAGTAATACAAAAAAAAATCCTTACAAATAAATTTTAAATATTCAATATTATATTTGTTCGTTAAACAATAATTATGTTTAATTTTTAAACATAATAAGAACTCCCCCCATATATATTTTTTTTTTTTTGGTCTATCGTTCCCCCCCTAGTCAAAATCGAAAGCCTATGCTATCAAATACTAAACTATTGTTTACAATTGGAGCATATATACCTTTAAATTTTTACCAAATTTCAGCCCTATATACATATGGCAAAAGAGATATTTGACATGGTCGGTTTAGTTATATACAGAAGATATTTGGAAATCTCAATGTTAATTGACCTCAGATTTAGGTTATTTGAGTTCAAATGAAAAAAAATTGAGTCAAGATGTAATTATATGGAAGTATGCATTTATTGTATCATTATTAGTTTCTTACAAATATTAATTGAAATTATACAGGATAGCACACACAAAATAAAAGAACTATTTCTAAATGGCATTAACGTTAAATGTTAATTTGGCTTTTGTAGATTAAGTATGTATCCCAGAGTGTATTATTGTCCTTTATCGATAACATTTTCATCATCAGGGCATCAGTGTTTATCAAACTTTACTTCTGGTTTTGGCAATCCGACCTAAAAAAATAACAAAAACAAATTAGTTAATTTTTTTTATTATTACAGTAATTCACCAAATTTATCTTTACAATTTAATATATAAATAGAACACAGTAATGGAGAATATTAGACATTTGACTAAACATTTATAATAATTTTGATGTTTCTTTTAAATATTCTAAACATGTTTCTTTAATATATTAACACACTGACAAGAAAAAAAGAGTAAAACAACTTATTAATATAAATAAGGTTATATATAAAAATGTTTAATAATATATTCCAAATAATTATGATCTTTTCGTTTGCATGTATGTTTGATATTCTCACTAATCAGTATTAAATAAGCAGTAATATAATGATCATAAAATTAATTGAATTATTCTGTAATTTCTTTTCAATTTTGAATGCAAACTTTGAATATACATATTTATTATGTATAAAAATTCAATATTAATGAATCATATTTTTTTCATAAATTACCTTATCTGCTTCCTCCTTCAAGCATTTTATTGCTGGGACACCTAACTCGCAAATGTCGGTTGATCCTTCAGTCACAACTGTAACAGATTACATCCTTATAAATCCATTACACATGACATTTTAGAAATTGAATAGCAAATCATTAATATATTATTTATTGAAATTTTTTCATAATTGATAATTTTTTTTTTTTTTTATGACAGAAAGGATGTAAAACAAAATAAATAATTGAGGCGTAATATAAATATTTTAGGTTTGATTAATATCATCTCACTCTTAGCAAATGGCATCTGTAAATTTTGAACAGAATAAGTTTAGTATTAAACACAATACAAGGCAAGAAAGACATTGTTCTAATATTTCTATAAAATTTAAAATGCTGATTAAATAAAAATAGTAGATTTCAGCACATACCTTTAGCACAAGTGTCAGTAACTTGGTTGATTTTTTCTACCAAATCAGGGGTGTCATATTTCTGTGGGTTCATTGCCTTAACCTTCTCCCAATCAACTTTGTGATCCGTCACCTGTATGATTGTAAAAAGATTTAAAAAAAAATATAAATAAAAGAAGAATTTATTTTATATTATGTTTCAACAAATTTTTTTAACATAGAGATGAATTAAACTATTCATGGTACTACTGATTTATTCATGACATTAATTTAACTATTTCGACATTTTAGTAATTTAAGGTAAGAGAAAACAGTTTTATACTTACATAGTCCATTTTCTCAAAGAAGCAACCAATAATGCACTGAAATATTAATTAAAAAAAAGTTATTACACTTTGTTTAAGTAAATTGAATAAATCACATAGTTATGTTTGTTGTAAAAAGATTAATATACTGCAATATTCGTAGCATATTAGAACTAGTGTCTGTAGATGTATTGGTATATTTTAATAAATCTATAGTTTATAAATTAATTTTCTTTAATTCAAAGTAAGATAAATAAAATAAAATAATATAATATTTCAAATTAATAAATTCTACTCTGTTGTTAAAATATAAATATTTTAATTTACAATATATAATTTAATTCCATTGGCAATTTTTCTATAAATAGCAAAAATAATTTCAAAAGCAGTTGATTAGGATTTTCTTCAAAATTTTAATATGATTTTCTTTCTTACACACCTCCTCAACCCCTGTACTAAAAATATATCTTTTTGTGGTATTATTTTCTTGTACCAATAATTATAAAAATATTAGAAATATTTCAATCACAATTCAAATATTAAACGATTAAGATAAAATTATATATGTATATATACAGAGTATCCCCTAAGCAGAGGGAAATATTTATAGCAATAATAACAGACTTCAAGAGCTACAAAAAAGTATATTTTAAACATTGGTCAGAAAGTATATACTAACATTTTTGGCAGTAAAGTTAGAAATTTAAGTTTTGTGTTTTTCTAAGTATCATGTTTTTTTTTAATAGGAAGCGATAACTAAAAAAATATATATATTAAGTAATTAACAATTCTTAGACTGTAAACTAGACAAAATTTACTTCCCAAGAAAATGGAGTTTTTCATTGTTAAAATCATTTAAAGAGGACTTTCTCATTTAAACTAAGCTAAGAGCTTTATTTAAAAAAAATCATAAACATAATTTTTCAGAAAAAAATAGAAAAATAAACATTTACCTTTTGATCCTTGGTTTCTGGAAGTTTATTTTGTTTTATAATTTCCAGAATATCCTCTATAAAAAAAGAAAGAAAAGTACTTTGTTAAAAGAATTAAAAAATCTTTTGTTTTAAAAAGGAGCAACTAATGCATACAGAATAATAATTCAGAAAGTTTTGACCATCAATGAACGACTGTATTAGAAAGTAATTTTGGAAATACCAATGATTACTGTAATGCACAACTGTTAAATATAAAAATGAAACTTACTTAGTTCAGCATTGTATTCTTTTGAGCAAGCACTAATTGCTGTAACAACTTTAGCTTTGTATTCCGGAGTTGCCTGTAAATCAATATTTTATTTTAGTGATAATGGATGAAAATATGTAAATAATTTCATTTTAATCAATACACAGAGTAACTTATGATTTTATAAATTTCTGTAGTTATACCATATTATAAGTTATGAAAATGCAAATATATTCTATTTGATGTTAATTTATTCCAAAAAAAAAATTAGGATTGAAATCAATTTGAATAAAAATGAATCTTTTATAAAACTACAATCTTATTCTAATAAACCACAAGTTGGTCTTAATATTTATTAATTTCTAAAATCTTATAGTCTTGACTGTAATAATAAGGTTTTTTCTTGCTAATGGCTTACAGGAAGATTAAAAAAAAAGAAATGTTAAGGCAAGTGGACCAAATTGAAGTTCATAACTGATTAGGGACAGGTCTTAAACAAATAAAAAAATTGAAATATAAATTAATTATATTCTAGATAATGGATTGTTTTGGTAAAATACACATACAACTAAAACACAATAAGTTATATCTGAAACTAATAAAAATAAATTTTATAATTTTTTTACACAGAACACTTTTAACTACTGAAATTGAATTAGTAAAATCAATAATAAATGAAGACAAATAAATGATATAGGACATTTAAATCTGAACATTGAATTAATTTATGTATATTAATTCCTCACTATGGAAAGTAGATAATATTTGTATTCATGTTGGAGGCCAAAATCTTTTCTGTTATTAAAATCTAAATTTCCACTGCCATTTTACTTTCTAGGCATCAAGGAGCAAATGTCTAGTGTTTACCTGCAGTGAAATACATATGAAGGGCATATCACCTAATACTGTTTATCACATATTCATAGGTTGGGTGGGAAGGTTCCTAGAGGGTTCCTTTTCAATTCAACCTAATTCTACTTTTGCCTGTCTATACCCAATTTTATATCTTTAGAAACGCCTATACTTCAGAGAAATGACTTATTCCATTTAGTTGAACTTGAGGATTAGTAAGGAAGATAATGCTGCATAAATTTTACCGAATTTCATCAACTTCTTCCTCTTACATATAAGAAAATATATTTTCCTTGATAGATCTGTTCCTCAACAACTTTAATTATTTTGTTTTAATTTTTTTTTTTTTGCAAATGTGAATATGAAACCAAGTCAATGCAATGATGTTTTAAATTTATCTCGAATTCTAAATCATCGATTGGGTGCTTAGAATTATTGCTACATGGAGGATTACTTCATCTTTATTAGACAATAAGGGTTCTTCGCTATGTACGATAATTAGCAATGGTGAGAAAGAACATGCCCCAGAAGCAGCAGACCATAGAGAAGAAGGACGTTGGTTCAATAAGTGACCATGGCAACCAATTTCACCGTAAACTTCCTTTTAGGATTCATTCTGCAAAGTCCCAATCATATCGACGTAAGGATAGAGAAGGTAATGGTTTATATACTTTTTTGATGAGTATTTGAACACATAATTGATAAAGCGGTCTTGAAACGAAAAGAAGGATTCTTATGAAAAATTCGTAAGTTTAAATCAGCTTCGTCAAGACGTGCATGGATGATAGTATTGCACATATTGTAAACAAATTTATTACTATGAGTATTATATATTGCTATTTGTAGCTAAGTACGAGTACCCTAGTGGATTAAGTGCTGAACGAACCCAGCAGCGGTGCTTTCTCCTAGACGCGGTATCCTTCCACCTCTCTTCCCAAGAAATTTTCTTTTTCTTTTCTATTTTCAAAAGCTGTGCAATTGAAATTTGAAATATACAAATTGTAGTTTATATAAAATTACACTCGTTGTTTATTCCATATCATTTCCCGTGTTTGTTGAATCTCCTAGATTGAAACTACACCAAATATGTTTCCATTAAAAACGTTTATAATCTCTTTAAAAAATGTTCCATACTGAAATATTTTGATGCCGCAACTTACGCCATACCACCATCCTCTTAAGATTTCTGGAACCCAGTTCACATTTCAGATCACTATTAAACTTTTCTGTTAGCGAAAATATTGGACTTTTAGGATGGAATTCGAACTGAGCCCTATGAGCCATAAATGGAGTAACTGCCATTTGTAATGTATGTATAATATATATATAATATATAATATATATATATATATATATATATATATATATATATATATATATATATATATATATATATATTACAGTTTTCGGCTGAAGCCTCCCAAAAATAAATCCTGGATCCACTAGTGATCTATAGTTCCAATAAATAAAACTTCATTTTGAAAAGTGGTTAATAAATCACTAAATTGACATGAAACTTAAATGTCATGAGCTTTTTTTAGGGGGGTCCTTCCCTTTCTCACCGTTAAGGCTATGCGGGATTTTCCCGGGCGAGGTGTGGGCGGGGATTTAAAAGACTCCCCCGGCACCGGGACGGGAACTCGTGACTAATTTTATATCTTTGATTCATATGTCAGGTTGCCGCCGGGTAACGGCGGTGCAGTGCACACGCTTTAGCCCATTCGGCCACCCCGCCCACCTAAATGTCATGAGCTTCAAAATAACAATTAGTTAATAAAACATAAGGAAATGGGATTGAAATTTTGGAATTTATGAAACTGTTAAAACTTTGACAAATTCCTCAAGTAATAAATTGGGCGAATAAAGGATGTATACTTTCGAAATGCTTCAATGAAAAGATGCTTGCGGTAAGCTTCAAGTATATAAATTATGATTTCTCCAATTATTTGTTTTCACATTAATAATTTCATTCAACACGACTAATTGTATGACATTTTTAATAGCAACAACCTTTCGAGAATAAAAATCCATTAAACTTAAGTTGGCTATAAAATGATAGGTTAGTTGAAAGCTTAGGCATTAACATGCAAATTGCCTTAACGACAAGAAGACTACTCAAGCTTCCCCCCTCCTAGATTATAATGACGCCTTCCGCTTTAGTTTAATTGGACATACTTGTCTTCGACTCGGACATCTCTGGCTAATAGCGGTTTTACTCAAGAATGGCTCAGGTTGAATATTAAATAAAATTATATTGAAAGGTAATCATCACAAAACTACTTAAACATTCAGGCTTAATTAACATTAACATTTAACAACAAGAAGTGTTTTATTGCAGCTATATCATATCAGCGTCAGAGAGTTTTTTCCAAATTCCATTGGTGATTCATTTTAATCCGGCATTTGAAAACAAGATTTTGGTATTTAGGTAGACTATTTTATATTTAAATATATTTCAACTAGAATCTAGTTAACCCCTCAGAGAACTCTCACTTTAGACAACTATATATTTCCTAATTACATTGTATGTATAAGCGACATTCTTATTCGTATATACTCTATAATATTACCAAGATAGTCTAAGAAACCCATATAATTAGTCAAGTTCGTTCTTTATCACGACTGTTAAGTAACAATTTCCTAATATTCCCGCTTATCCGTCCTCGTCGGGACCGAGACAACGGCGGTTAAGCGGGAGAGCCGGTTAATACGGAGGGTACAAAATTAAAAAAAAAAAAACTGTAACATTATTTTAAATTCTATATTGCTGAAAAATCAAAATACAACTTAATCAATAAATGTTATATACATATCAATTGAAGAAGATAACGGTTTTTGGTCAACTCAATTTAACGATTTACAAAAATGTCTATTAACGATCTTTGTTAGCTTTTTACAAAATCTTTTTTTTTTTTTTTTTTTTGTTTTATCGAACTTAATGTCTTCATAGTAGCATTGTATCTTCACTTTAAAAAAAAAAAAAAAAAAAAAAAAAAATCCACCGCTGTAGTCGATTCCGTCGGTAATATACGCAGTTACAGTATCAAACAGTATAGTCCTTAGAACAGACTTTATATCAACTTATTAACATCAGTCTGAAACTTAGTAAATTTCTTCATCTCATCGTAACCTACAAATAATTTACTTACAAGAATTCTCGGAATTAGGGCGTTTTCAATCTGAAGATCGGCAAACTTTGTCTGTTTAATTAGGTGTTAAAAAAACTCGTAAATACCCATTTGCTTTCCACTTGGATCGTAAGATAATTTGAGCACAAAATCAATGAAAAAGTGACATACAAAAATATTGGGCCTATATAACCTCGTTATTTTAGCAATTTGGGGGTGTAGGTCACGCCGTTTTGTGCTCAAATTATCTTAGGATTCAAGTGGAAAGGAAATGGGTGTTTACGATCTTTTCGCACCTAATTAAAAAGACAAAGTTTGTCGATCTCCAGATTGAAACCGCCCCAATTCCGAGAATTAAAGTAAGTAAATTATTTGTAGGTTACCACGAGATGAAACTATTTACTAAGTTTCAGGCGGATGTTAATAATTTGATAAAAAAAGGTTCTGTACCACGGATTTGTACTACATCAGTAATTACGGAGTATTTCTTCTTAATTTTTCTTTGAAATAAATGAAGGATAAGGACTATTTATATAATTTAGGCCATTATAAACCAACGTTTTATTTATTAATTATTTCATTACGACCATTTTCGCTAGGGCCATTTTCAAGACTGGAAAATTTTTAATGTCATTGTTAGTTTACATTTACATTTTTTTTATTTTTTTATTTTACATAATCAACTAATCTAACGATCCATGTCATACAATTTCACTATACATACATTTGTATATTTTTTTAAAACCTTTCATGTACTTAACTTTACTCATTATATACAATTGATTGTTACCTTATTGGGTCCTCCATTAAATTTCTATTATTCAGTGTCGTATTAATTTTTCAGAGAAAATTAAGCTGTCCTGATATTTTAAAGTTTACCCTACGTCAATTCTGGAGGGACTGACTTATATCGTCCTGGTGGGGATAGTCGAAGGGAGAGGGGTTTTTCTTCTATTGTTTTGCAATAGTGTATTAATTTATATAGTTTATGATTTATATATTGCTTTTAATTTAATTATTATATTATATGCGAATATTATTTATTCCATTTGCGTAAAAGACCATACATATTGTCCACATATGTATGGTTGTTAACTTCCATCAATTATTTTTATTCCATTATGTTTTAAAAGTATTTTAACTAAAGTTATATTAAAATCACTGAGTTTGTTCAAGCGAGCAATTGAAAATTCAAATGATAAATGATATGTTGTTCGTAAGTTTATTATGTTTTTTTAGTGAGACTTCACTGAATTTGAAATATTGATCTAAACGAAATATACATTTCTGTGTTTTAAAACAAAAAAGGGCATTGTTGAAACCTTTGGAATTTAAGTTACCTACACGAAAGAAAATTAGATTTTCAATAAAAATTTTAAAAGGGTTAATGCTTCTTGTCCGATTTATTGCAAAAAAACTTTTTATAAATTTTTAGATTAAGAAAACTATTTAATCATGATTTAATTAACTTGAAATTATTGTTTCTGCTTATGAAGTATTAATATTAGATTTCATCTATATATGTTTGTCTTAATCAAATAAATCATCAAATTTTTAAATATATATTCTATTAGTTATTTATAGATATCTAAATGGTAATAGAGAAATAAAATTTGTCAACTATTAAATTAATGAGTATGTAAATAAATATGTAAAAAATATTTATATATGTTTTTATTCTTTGGAGCAATCATCTTCATATTCTTTTATTATTATAAAACCTTTATTATCATAAAACAACTAAAATAGATCAGAACAAAAATATTTATATATTTATTTATTTATATTTATACAAACTGGATAAAAATTTAATAGTTTAATAAATTTTAGTTGTTCTCTGTATTTATTTTTTTTTTGTATACAAATCATGTGGCGTGTAACAAATATCTTTCATTTCCACCCCTACTTTCAGTGGTTATTAATTTTTTAAAAGTTAATAAATTTAAAGGAATAATGGTTATAAATAAAAACTTTCGTCTGTTTATATGGAATATGATTTAATCCCCATTCAATAATAAAAATTACAATACAAGTAGACATTATGATTTTATTATTACTACTATTAATAGTTTTCCTTCACTCCCCATTAGCTTTTATGACTTTTCAACAACACCTTTAATCATCAAATTATTTCATTTTTCAAATTAGGTTATTTCTAATAATCAAAATTAATTATACCTTAGAGCAAAACATTTTGAAATTTCAGCATTAATGTTCTGCTATACTATTTTAATGAGCATAACATATCACTGATATTAAAGAGCATTTAATTTTATATATACATAATAGTTATAGGGTTTAATCAAATAGTTATATTTCTGTTTCGAGACATTCGGAAAAACGTGTAAAATCGATGTATCGATCATGTAAAGTGGCATTCCTCATAAGTCGATTTTAGCAAAAAAGTTGCTATATCGCCCCAGAGAAATACTTATATTAAGTGCTTGATTTCAGTTTCTCACGTTTGTTCTTGTGCTATGCTCTTCACTTAACGGAGATAAACACCGTTTTACGAAACTTGTTGTTTTGGAGTAAGGATACCGGAAAACATGTATTTCAGTTGGAAAATCGAATTCGATTATTTTTACGATAGCAATACTCTACCTAATTGTAAAAGATATATAATAATATAAATAGAAAATGAATGAATACTTGATCTTAAATATGGGCAATCATTTAAGGAATAATGAGACGAAGAATATGGTTATCTTTGGTTTTTGGTAAACTACAAATAGTTGGGGAATGAAAATTATAATATTGAAATACATTTTAATAAATATACTTGATAATGAGCTAATCAGCTCGAAACGTCGTTAAGGCAGAACACAAAATGTGAAAGTATAAGGGCTTATATATTCCTTGGAGAGACTTTAAATTTATAAAAAAATTAAATATTTTTCAAGTATTTTTTGTTTCCATTTATTGTCAACAATTATAGAAGAAGAATAGTTTAATAAGAATGGATTAAGAAAATCTTATTACCGATGAGATCGTTGAATTGTCTTGGGATTTGTCGTTTTCAATGCAATTTTTTAACATTTAGTAATCATTATCCCTTAGTTTTGTTTGTATATTTGGTTATATAATTTTGACATGCTAATGCTTATTAAAATAATATTAGTCTTCTTTTAAGTAACTGATGATTGAAAAAGCGAATTTTTGGCAAAACTTAACTGCTGAATTCGATTTCTACATTTGAAAAATGTCATATTTTTTATAAGCGTATCAAATAAGGAAAACTATTTTATTGATAGACAAATCTATTAGGATTTTGAAAACAATAAATTATTTTCAGTTTGGGCACTGTGAAAACATTTCTTACAGAATATACCTAAATAGTAAAAGTACAATATAATTTAAAACGTTATTTTTTAAAAATAGTTCCGTCAATTTTCTACATTATGTCCTTTTCTTAAGCAAGCAGGTTAGTTTAGTTTTTACAGTGTTGCTGTCGATACAAAGTTAAACAATGATGAATTTAAACTAATATTATGAATCTTTTTTCCATTGAAAATTACATACTAATGAAAAACTATATATGAGAAAAGTAAAAAATGTTGAAGTATGTCCAGTTTAATCTATGGTGAATAGCAATAGTGATTGTAGTGAATTTATTACACAAATAAATATACTGAACTCACCGCCCAAGAAAGGCAGACAACAGCGAGAAGAGTGGTAAGGCAGAGTGCAGCTTTCATCTTGAAGAAGTCTTGTGCAGTAGAGGCGGAGGAGTTACCTTATATAGCCAACTTCAAGGACACTGCCACCCCAGAGCATCCACCTCTTCTTCCCCCTAATGGCTCCCCGCTCCATTATTTTCAACCTATCATCTTTACCTTTTGTTATTGAAATCCGCTTTTAGTGCACCTGATTTTATTCTAATATAACAAAGCAGTACTGCGAATAGTCCTCTATTTACATATCAAGAAAACGCCTTGATTGACCATTATCCAAGTTGAGAATTAAGCATCCATCAACGTGACCGATGCAATACGTAGTTATTTCATTATTTACATTGCACCAAGCTCATAAATGACTTGTAATAGTCCTTGGAAAAAAAATATATATAGAATAGCAACTTGATTTTCCACTTGGTTGAATCGTATTTTTCTGATAAATTTCTATAAATAGTTAAAACCTCCTTCATCTTACATCAATTAAAAGCTACGCAACTATTGCACAATGCCTGTACATCTGATATATTTTACAATCCACAACAATCTCAGAATAAATTATTGATGAACAACTCTAGAAATATAAAAGAATAGATGTTGATGTGTCTAATTTTTTAAGGGTTAATGTTTAAGTGATAAAATGATTTGTATTAGACTGAATTACATTACATATATTGCAACAGTAGTGCTCATCCCTTACCCAAAGGCCGATGGCGCAAAAACCCCTTCATCCCAAGATATTTTATTGCTCACCTTTTCATAAAAACAGAGCAAGTGATGGTAGAAATAGAAAAATAGCAGATTATATACAATTACACTCGTCGCTGTCTGTACCATGTTTGCCCCTTGTCCTTTAGTCTGAAACATTTCATTCCGAAAATTCATTACCTCGTCGAAATCTGTCCCCCTCAAAATTCGAAAACCTGTCAAAAATATGGCTCTACAAATTTTTAATGGCACAACTTGCGCCATGAAATCCTCTTCGGGACATCTCTGTATTGCAATAATATCGTTGCATATTGTATATAAGTAATGTGCAATCGACAATATCTATAGCATTTCCAAGTCAATTTCAACTGTTTCTAAGTCAAACTAAACTTTTTCCAAGTCAAATTAAACCGTTTCAATTTCAAATACAACCTTTTTTTATTTATTTAATTATTTTTAATTTATCTATGTGTAGGTCAGTTATCATATGCGTAGTTTTTGAAAATGATCTCCATTATAAGATTATAAGATTACACCACTACGTTTCGACTTATTTAAGTTTTTGAAATTTTCCATATAAGGGTGTATTCTTATGTTTTCGGAGCCATAAATTTTGAAAATTATCTCCATTTTAAGATTACGGCACTGCGTTTCGACTGATTTAATTTTATCTAATTTATTCGATGTAAGAGTCTACTTATATGTTATCGGAGACTTACTTTTTGAAAATGAGTTACATTTTAAGATTAGGCTAATGTGTTTCGGTTTGTATAAGTTTTTTCAATTTTCCTCGAATTTAAATAAAAATACTATGGATTAATTAATTTTTCAAATAAATAAAATATCTATTTCCTCATTTTTAAATTTATTTTAGTTTTCCTTTTTAATACTGCGGTATCCTCTTACAAAATTATAATATACGAATTTCGAACAATTTGCTGAAATATCTCAAAAGCGTAGGTTAAATTTATTACCAGTTGCTTTTTCGGCTTTTTGCTTTGTGTTTTATGGTTATTTAACTTAGCTTCATAATACTTATTTATTCATACTCGAAAACACATTGTGGAAACTTTGTATTGAAAAAATCATAAAAATAGCTTTATTAATCGAGATACAGTGGCTTAATCTTGAACTGGAGATTAAATAAATGAAATTTAAATATTAGAGATTAGATAAATAACTTCAATAACCACGTCTCCGAGAACATTTAAGTAGATCCTTATACCGAATAAGTCCAAAAACCTTAAATAAACCAAATCAGTAGCATAATCTTAAAATGCAAGTAATTTAAGTGAAAAAAATACGTCTCCGATAACTATATATATACACAAATATGTGCAACAATGTATATACACAAATATATACAACAATATATACAGACAAATATATACACACAAATATTTACAAGGTAATCCGTAAATAGAGAGAAATCATAATAGAAGTGCTTATCGACTAGCAACCTCAATAACTACAATTTTTAACAGGAAAGTTTAAAGTTTTGTGTATTTTTAGGTAAGTGGTGTTTTTTGTTGAATAGGAAAGTATAATTAAAGAAACATTTATTTAAGTAATAAGTAATTACTTCACTGTAGACTAGACAAAATTTACTTTAAAAGCATAGTAGTCATTGTTACTATCATTTAAAGACAACTTCTGTGCAGTTAAAGTAAGCTAAGTTCTGTTTTCATAAATCATAAATTGTTCGCGATATTTTTTTTATATTTTGATGAAAATAATTGAATTATTCAGGAAGATTCTTTATTTAAATATTTTAGAACTAGAAATATTTAGTTCTTCACTTATAAATAAGGCTAAATTAAACAAAATTAGATGTTTTTTGTTTTCAAATTTACGTTTTAAATAAAGAAACTTGCTGAATGCTTCAATTATTTTCGTAAAAACGTAAATATTAGAAGCAGGAATATTTATTTTGCCTCTTATAAAGACGGATTGATTTCTGTAATAGAAATCTGGGTGACAGATATAATAGATAGATTTCCTATAACAAAAATGAGGAAGACCTTATAAAAGTATCTGTAGCATAGTTAGATGAAAATAAAAAAATGTCACGAATAATTTATAATTGTTTTCAAAAAGATCTTAAGCTTAGTTTAACCGCACAAAAGTACTCTTTAAATGATTGTAACAATAACAAACTATATATTTTTTAAAGTATTTTTTGTATAGTTTACAGTGCAGCAATTGCTAATTACTTTAAATATTTTTTTAGTAATTGCTTCCTATTTAACAAAAACACAATTTACCTTAAAGTACACAAATTTTCTACTTTCCTGCTGAAAATTAGTCCATTGTTTAGATGAACTTGTTTGTAGCTATAGATGTTTGCTATCATTCTTATAAAAATATTTCTCTATTCACAGAACACCCTGTATAGTATTAAAACAAGTAGTGTTAAAAATATTATTATTCATTAAAGTTTGAGTTTTTCTATCAGCAGTTGAAATTTTATTTATCCCTGAATTAATAATTTTTTTCTGGAAAATAAAATAGTAATTATTGGGAGTTGAATTTTTGAATCGACTAGCAAAGGGATCTCTGACTTTAGAAATAGTTTTCGGGATCAATCAGTTCATTTGCTGCTATTATTTTGTTAATCATTAGCAAGTATTTTATTTGCTATTGGCATCTTTAAAAGATTAGAATCAAGAAAGGAGCTATTGTCCATAATAAATGACATACGTAAGCACAGAGCCGGCCTAAGACATTCGGCGCACCTGGGCCATGACGTCATTTTTCCTTAAAGAATTAAATCTATATCTTAATCTGTTTAGTATTATGTAATATTTAAATTTTATGTAATTCAACATTTCTTCAGTACAGTTGATTTATTGATAGGCTAAAATTAATTATTTTAATAAACTATGCATTTTTTTTTTTTATACTGGTCCTTTTTATCTTTTCCGAGGTTTTGGTACTTCCTTTCTCGTTCGCTTAATGTATTTTTTCAATTTTCTGGTTCAATTTCGCGTTTTCCCTCATTTTGAGACTCTGTTTTGGTTTATAGAAGAACTTATAGCGTCACCCTTTCTATCTTTCATTGTGTATAGAGAATAATTCATTCAATATTAAAATTTCCTATTTATTTATGATATAGTCCAACTTCACCAAATAAAGGAATTAAAAATTATTTTTTTAATTAGTGATACATGAGTTTTACTAAACAACCCGGTAGCTATTCATTATATATAGTTCAGATTAGGTATATATTATTTTAGTTTATAAAACAGATATTAATATGACTCATTCCCTGAGAAGTATATAAAAATTTTAATTACCTCTGAGAAGCAGTAAATATACAAAACACAGTGTTAAATTGCAAACGTTAAATAAAAAAAAATCAAGATATTTAGCAAAGTATTTTTAATTAAGTTTTATTATTATAATTATATCATTTTTACAATTGAGGTTTTCTTAAACGACCTACATATAGAATAAAGGAGGTTAAATTAAAAAAAAAATAATAATAAATTATTTTTTTAATTTTTTGTTTTTTTATTTTTTACAATTAAATTATTGCATTAATATTTTTTCGTTAATAAAACCAACATAATGTACCAAAAATGTTATATCACTATAACTAGGCCATTTATGTGTACTAAATGGTGTGTAGGCCTGTAGGCACCCACGCCAGTACCGCTTTTCTGCCGCATAAGTGCATTTTCTACGAAACTGCTTAAAATTTTTTAAAAAATAATCAGCGTTTTAGAAAGACAAATATATTCTCCAGATGTTTTATTTTAAACGTTTTGCGTTATTGTAGGCCGTTTAATTACAAACGACGCTTGATTTGTAACTTGAAATTTTTTTTGTTAAAAAAATTGACTTTACTGGTGTTTTTCATAGCCTAAACCAATTATTTTTTAATATTTCTTCATGTTTTATTATTCTATGACTATTCAGCTTTAATAAAAGACCAACTATGAGGCAATTAAGCCAAATGCTGATTCTCAGTGACCAAAAAACTAACTAAAGTCAAAGTCGTCAATCCGCCATCTTTGGACGCCATTTTGGGGCAGTGCGTTCACTTTTTTTTGTGGGAACATTGGCTTTTTTTTAATAAATAGTTACAAGGAACACAGCGATATGAAATTTATAGGGATGTGGGGGGGGGGGGGGTGCACGGTAAATGGGTCTGGCCCACAGACTATAGTAAGTCCCTCATCAAACTCCTTTTCAGTATCACAGGGGTACGTCAGGAATCGTCCAGTAATACTGAGGAGTGAACCAACATTTAAAGATAAAGATGAAACTTGTCAGATATTGTTCATTACCTTCTCCATAATACCCTATAAAAAGGTCCAAAGAATCCCGCGTTGAGTTTTGATGAAGGAAGG